CACCCCAGAAGGTAGAAGCTGCCAAGTGATTCGCTCATCAACATGAATGGTCTGAATTAACAATCAAAAAATCAGTCGTTAAAAATTGGCATGAAAATGTTACAAATACGCCCTTGGTTATGAAATTTTCGACATTTTTACCCTGATTTCACTTTAGACTCGGTATCTTCATACCACCCAGGTTGATGGGCGGGGTGCCCACCCCGGCTTCTACGTTTCGAAAGAATTTATTCGCTTTGGAATTTATCATTCGCAGCGGAACTTGGGGGATTATTATTTTGCTGAGGGCCCCCTGTTATAAAGCTTCTAACAATAAGTCCCATTTTCCTCGATTCGGTGGACGATGCCTCTAAATGATCAACTGATTTCCTCCTTAATTTATGATGCTGGGAACCAAACCTTGCTCTCGGACCTCAGAGTCTTAAAAAAGAGAGTTGATAGTCACGAATAGATGATCTTTCACAACATGTATGTTGGTTAATTACGACCGAATTTGAATGTTAGTGGCATCGAGATAAAGAGAGGAAGAAGAGAAACACAGAATGATTTCCTCAGAAACATGAAAAAAATTAATTCAGGAAATTACGTATGGATCAACTGAAAAAGAAACGACAAGATCAAATTCTAAGGTATGATAAAGACGTACCCTGGTCGTACCGGACAACATAAGCCATTTGGAACGTGTTCCGCCGGTCGAACACTGTCTGCCGGACAATCAACGCCTTCGTCCTCGTCGAAGACATGCGAAGGACATTGTACCGATTCACAACGAAGCTCTGCAAATTCATGAATCTGATCTGAAAGTTAAAATGGCCTATAACACTCTCAACCTCGTTTCCGGCATTCAAACACATCACAACATGAGCCAGGCTGATGACCACCTTCTTTTACTAGTACTCGTTCCATGCCTTGTTCACAAACGGGGACAAATGCTTCACACTTCTAAAGAAGATTTGCTATTTTACAACCGCAGAGCTTCCGGATCTAAAAAGCCTTATCTTACCTGCTGATCACAATGGCAAGTGCCTGGTCGCCCACAGCATTCGCCAGGTGGTGGCGGAAGTATGACGAGTCGAGAGTCTGACGGACATTCTGGATGAAATACGACCGAACACTGAGCTTTCAAACATCGCTCGGGAAACATTTCTGAAAATCTTTCACTAAGAACTCGATGCGAAGAAGACTTTTATGGTTTTCAGAATGATAAGTGAGAGGATGGAATCATTGGCACTCTATTACAACCATTCAATGCGAATAAAGCACGATTCTCGATCAAGTTTCTCCGCAGCTTTATTACAACTTCTTATGCTTGAAAATTGCCTCAGGTGAGCTTTATCAAAATTCAAAAAACTGCAGAACTTACAGAAAAACTTGACTGCAAAAAACGCGTTTAGCAATATTATAATTTGAATTTTTGGTCTCAGACTAAAAATTTTCATTGTGTTTAATAATGTCATACCAATATCCGGCTGTCATAAGAAACTAAATAGTCGTTTTCAGCAGACGCTAACAACTACCCTTTTTCTCGATCCCCAGCAGAAAAAAAGGGTCCCTTTACCCACTTTGAAGCATGAAGCAAAGAAATTCAAGAACAGATCGTGCTAATCCTCCTGATCTCCGCAATAAGTGCCCAGATTTTCGTTTATAAGTACGCGTCAGCTATCTGCACTTCAGAGGCTAAGTAAGCGGAAAGTCATTGACTGCTTAATCTTCATAAGCAGTATGAAAGGAGACCAAACACAAATACAATGATGTGATTTACTTACAGCCACGGCATGAGTCAATGATCGGCGATTCGTCATCGCAATGCCGATTCGCAGCAAAAATAAAAAGAAGCTATCCCTTTTTCAGATTAGAGGAATGTACAGCTGGTAGCTTGCAGAGCAAATTCCACTACGTTCTTCATATATTCCTATTTTGAAAACCCCTAGATTTGGTCCCTAGCAGAAAAGCCCAAAATTGAGCATCCAACAATGGGCCCCAATGCAATCATTACTTCATTATGCAATCCGAGCATATGCCATTCGCAGCAGTGGATAATTGCCTCCGCCAAAGATGTGGCCAATTAGAGAAAAAACTGACAGACTGGCGTTACACTTCCCCATTCACGTTAGCCTATTTTTTACACATTAGATGGACGGTGGTGAGAACTTATAGAATCCAACTATTCTTAGACTGTTGTGGATATCCTAAAAAAA